CTGTTGAATTTGATCAAAATCTCAATAGATTGAAAAAATATATAGCATAAACAATTTTTATATAAATCTAACAACTGAAGCTCCCGTTTGAAATATATATTCAAGTCATGATTTGGGTTCATTAGGGGAAACTTTGTGCGTGAAGAAATTTTAGAATTCAGACTCTTTGTGAAATTTAAAAAAAAAAAAAAAAAAAAAAAACAAACAAACGATGTAGCAAAACTTAAATTTGGGTTTGAAAAAATGCCCCAAACAAGCCTTAAAGTGTGAACAAAAAGACCAACACTGATATTCGTCCCAAAAAGTAGGTATATGTATGACAAAACAGATGTACTGTTGCCTAATTAAGTGCTATTCTCCGCATGACAATTTTCTCACATGCTTGACAAATTGTTTCTTTCTTGAATATTCAAAATTTTCTTCTTCCTATTCACCATATTTAGACAATTCGAGGGATTGAAAAAAATTAATCGTGTCTGGCACTTAGCTGATGTAGTTAAATTCTAATTAAACCCACTTCCTTTTGGCTCACATAATGTTCCTTTGATGATCAGTAATCACATGACCAAATATATGCCTGACATTTCGTTTGTGATCATCTTTCAACGACTAGTAAAGCGACGGAATAGTAACCAGGAAAAAGATGGACCACGGTAACCCACATTTTTTTTCCTTTAATAATTGGCACCGTTGAGCTCTAATTTTATCAAAATGTCCTAATATTTTTAAACATTGACAATTAAGGACTTTCCGTCTAAATCTGTTAAATTTCTCACGGGAACTTGTACGTGGTCATCTTCTTCTGGAAATGTCTGTAATGTTTTGATGAGGAATAATATTATGAGAAGACCAAATGTAAGTCATGTTTTTCTTGAATGTGAGAATTAAGGTTTCATATTTGGTGGTTTCAATGGCAAGGAGGAAAGAGAAAGATGGAGCTTTGTTGAATTTGGCTTTGACAACTGGGATTAAGGCTCAAGTCTGCAACCATTTACCAGGCCAGGTTAGTTAGGGTTTGAAGATGGTGATAATATGAGAGAAATGGTTTGGATAGTCCTCGTACATAAATTATTCACAGTAATTCTCTTTATACCCAAACTTTACTTCCAAACATTTTGGTCCCTAATTTTTAAAACGTCTTAAACTTAACTATGATTTAGCAACTTGCCTTTTAGTTTTAGCCCTTGTGTCATTGGATGTTAAAAACCAGACCAAATATGAATAATCTTCTTTATCAAGGTGTTATTTTCTATCAACATCACATGAATATTATATGTTTGATTAGAATGGTGTTATTTTCTGACAAAATATCACGTACACAATTCATCTTCTTTTTAACATCCAATTGACATGGTTAAAACCGAAGCAAATTCATAGATTAAGCTTAGAATTTTTTTTTTTAAAAAAAATTAGAGATCAAAGTCAGATTTAGGTAAAATTCAAGGATCATTTATGAGATCAGGCCATTTTTGTTGTTAATGCTCAAGAGTTGTGGATTATAGTTCTCTTATAGAATTTGTAACGGGTAATGTCGGAAGGCACATTTTTTTATTTCATTTTATTAAGAATTTCTTGATTAGGAAATTTGACATTAGAGCAAGTTAATAATTTTAGTATTTGCTCTTTTGAAGGATAGTCCATCAATATTTGTTTGAAGGATTTTGCAATATTTGTTTGTTTATAGAGAATATTTTGTAGTGTTCACTTTAGTATTTGCTCTAGTGTTTAACATAGTTTCGTTTAAATCTATTTGTGCTTATAATGTTTTATTAATTAGAGTTTTTCAAATGGTGCTAAGAGATGAACATCGATTTGCTTTTTTTTTTTTTCTTTTTATTGTCTAGAGGATTAAGCCATTAGTTTTCTGAAGTAGGCTTTTTAATTGAGTGCTTTTATTTCTGTAAATTGCCGCTTTAAATGTGGTGAAATTTACTCTTTGAAAGCGCATTGCGGGGGTGTGATATTTGAGGAAGATGGTGTTTGGAGTTATGCGGGCGGTAAGGTTAGTTCAACTGAGTAGATGCATCTATTTGGCAATATTCAAGGGCATGGAAGGTTAGGAAACGTGAGTTTCATATATTGTGGGCCACATATTTATTCTATAATTATATTAAGCTATTTAATTATTTAGCTAATTAAGTGATCTAATTATGGAAAGCCCAAAGAGTCTCCTAACAGAATATGGGTTGAATGAGTGGATACCCATATTGACCCAACTAGGTTTAATGGGAGCCTAATGGGGCAGTATATAAAGAAACTTAGGTTATGGTCCCCAATACGTCAAATCATTCGGCAGTTTTCATTTTTTCCCATCTAGAGAGAAAACACCACATTAAGGAACTAAGGAGATTTGACTGAGGAAGGCAATAACCGTCGTGCTCGTTGTCTTAGAGAATTCTACTGGAGATTAAGGCTACACCAATGGAGACAAGTATTTGTTCTAACTTATTTTCTTAGTAATTTGGTGTGATGATTCCTGGAATGTGGAATACGGATTTGAAGATCCAACAAGTGGTATCAGAGAGGTCATCACATTAAATTATTGAGAGAATTTTTATATCCAATATCTCTGGCTGAATATCATGTTGATTGATTCATATGATTTTTCTTTCTTTTATGGAATTACATATATACTTTATTTTGTTAAGAAAAGCATGTATATAGATAATCATATGAATTCTTGGTGATTAATTTTCAATCAATATTTGTTGAATAAATTCAAAATTATTTAGTATTTGCAAAATTGATTATCTGGAAAATTAGGGATTAAGGAAATTTGGTAAAAGAATTAATTAAAAGAAAGTTTTTTTCTTTTCTGGAAATTTTTTTTCTTTTCTTCTTTCGTCTTCTCTCCTTTTCGGATTGAAGACTGTGGCCGGCGGCAGCCTTGGTCACTGGCGCTGAGGAAGCAAGGGCGCGGCCATTGGGCTGCGCCGATGGGATAGCCGCGGCTTGTTGGCTGCGGCGGGGTTAGGAACAGCGGCGGCCAAGGCCGCCGCACAAGAAAAAGAAGATTAAAAAAAAAAAATTTTGTTGCCGGCGGCAAGCTTACCGCCGCCGGCGTCTGGATTCCCAGGCGCAGCCGCTGGGCTGCACCAGACAGTTATTGCTGTGGCCGGCCGGCCCGACCCGTCTGATCCGACTTTATAGGTTTTTTTTTTCGGATTAAAATGGTCCTAATCCGCACTGTGCGGTTGGGGGCGGGTCGGGCATGCTTGAACCCGCAATGCCCCGACCTGGCCATTTGGAACCTTAGAGTTAGCCCTAATTCCTAAATCCCTCCCTCGTCCTCACTCCTCCTCACCTCAGTCTCAGTGGCTCACTCTGTCGACTCTCTCCTCTCCTCAATTTGATCCTCTGTTGTCCCTCTTCGCCTCTCGCCTCCCTCCTCTCCTCTCGCCTCTCACCCCACGCACGCCTCGCCTCACCTCCTCTTTCACCCTAAATCCCTCATCCCTAAATTACTCGTCGTTCCTCGCCGTTCGTCGCCATTCCTCGCCGTTCCTCTCCGTTTCTCACCGTTCTTCACACTCGCCGTTCCTCACCGTTCATCGTAAGCCACCGTTCCTCTTCTTCTTCCAGATTTTTTTTGTTTTATTTTTTGATTTATGATTTATATCTGAATCAGAGCAAACCAAACAGAAATGGGTCTGTTTGTTTGATTTTGTTTTTGGTTGATGTCATTTTTGGTTAATTTTCGGTTTTCCATTGATGTCATTATTGGTTGATTTTCGGTTTTCCATTGATGTCATTTTTTGTTCCAGTTGCCCTAAAGGTGGAGCTCACGGCGGCGACAGTTTGATTCTTGCTTCTTGCTTCTTCCAGTTTCATCAGGTAAGTTCCGTGAAGCCTTACGTGAAACTTGCTTTGGTTCTGTTCATGCTTGCTTATAGTATTAGGTACACAAGTGAAAGAATATATATATGTGTGTGTGTGTCTATGTATTAAACGTGAGAATAAATGAGCCAATAGCCATGTGGTTGATGGCTTGATGCTCCTAGAGGTGGAGCTCACGCATGGCTCGGATTATTTGGTAGAAAGAATGAAAGCAACAGTAAAACCGTTCTTCTGGTCCTTTTGTGCTTTCTAATTCTCTTATTACTACAGTTTGATTTTCAATGAATTTATTTGTTTATTATCTACCATGATGAGTGCTTAATATAGTACAGAAGATGTTTTAGACACAATATGTGGAAGTACAGGCATTACTTATGGACACGAGAACCTGGTCTGTAACATTTTTTGAAGATATATCGTTGATATCAATGTGTGATAAGGGTTGAGATGTTTGTAATTTTAAACACGAAATGGAGAAGTACTTTTTACATACATGCCTAGAGTTTGAGAAAGGATATAAAGAAAATAAAAAATAAAAAATTACTAATTACACACAAACAGTGTCAATCTACTTAACATTCTTAGAACTTAATGCCACCCCTTTATCTTAAAGCAGCAGTTGCAGTACATACATGCACATACGACACACGTCATTGTTATCCCTTGAATCTTTCTAGTCAAACCTTTAAGCACCTACGTTATTGTTATCCTTTTTTTTTTATTTCTGGAACTTAGAGATGATGTTGGGTCAATCTCACTTCGGTACCTAATTTTTAAAATGTCCTTAACTCTTAACACTATTAATTTAACACTTATTTTACCAATTTGTGTGCTAGATGAAAAAATTTATCATCCACCCGACAAAAATTACTGAAAGTACTTGTAAGTTATCTGCTGAAACAGAAAGTGTCTCTATGCCTAAGGAGCCCATTACCTTGCCCACTCCCACACCCAGCCCTACCCCTGTACCTAATTTGGGCACTAAAATTGAAAACGAAAAAGAGGTGGGAGACAGTAAAAAGAGAAAGAAGTCACAAAAAAAGTCTCCTGTTTTGGATCATTTCAAAATCATAGAGGGTGAGGATCCAAATGAGCCTAGGTGTAAGTGAATCTATTGTGGGGCAACATATGCGTGTGATAGTAGGAGACACGGCACCAGTAGTATGAAGGTTCACATAGAAAAGCAATGCAAGAAATACCCATATAGGAACCAAGACAAGAAGCAAAAAATTCCGAGTTTCCAAACAAACACTGAAACTGGGAGTAGTCTTGTTGCTATAGGCTTTAACAATGAGCATTGTAGAAAAGCGTTAGCAAAAATGGTGATTGTAGATGAGCTTTCATTTAGGTTTGTTGAAGGTGAAAGATTTAAGAATTTTTGTCAAGTGACGCAGCCTAGGTTCTCTATCCCCTCCCGTGTTACGATTGCTAAGGACATTTACCAACTTTTTTTGGAAGAGAGGAAGAAACTAAGGGCTGAATTTTGTAAGGGCAGTCAAAGGATTTGCCTAGCAACTGATTGTTGGACATCCTTACAAAATATTAATTATTTGTGTTTAACTGCACACTACGTTGATAGTGAGTGGACTTTGCAAAAAATGATTATAAACTTTTGTCAACTTTCAAGTCACAAGGGAGAGGGTGTTGGTAAAGTCATTGAGTCATGTTTGCATGCTTGGGGTATTGAGAGAGTCTTCACTATGATTGTTGATAATGTCTCCTCAAATAACTCCATGATTACCTACTTGAGAAGGAAGATTAAGGGATGGAAAGGGGTTGTTTTAGGTGGGGAATTTTTGCATGTTAGGTGTTGTGCCCATATAGTGAACTTGATTGTCAATGAAGGTTTAAAAGACCTACATGATTCCATAGCCGTCATTCATAACGTTGTGAGGTATGTGAGGTCTTCTCCGGCTACGTTGCTGAAATTCAAGTCGTGTGTGGAGCGAGAGAAAATTGAATACAAAGGTCTCGTATGCTTAGATGTCCCTACTAGATGGAACTCCACCTATATGATGTTAGATGCAGCCATTAAGTTTCAAAAAGCTTTTGAAAGATATGAAGAGGAAGATGACAAGTTTGTGTCTTATTTTCGGGAAGATGGGGGGGGGAAACGGAAGATTGCCCCGCCACTTGATGATGATTGGGAGAATGTTAAGGTGTTTGTGAAATTTCTGAAGACTTTTTATGATATAACTTTGAAGTTTAGTGCCACTTTGAATGTCACTTCAAATTCTTACTTTCATGAGCTTTGTGAGATGCAAAACCAGCTATCTGAATTAAGCAAACAAGAGGATTCAATGCTTTCATCCATGGCTGTGAGTATGAAAAAGAAGTATGCCAAGTGTTGGGGGAATGTTGAGAATATAAATTGTCTTCTCTTTGTGGCTGTTGTACTTGATCCTAGGTACAAAATGGATTATTTGACATATTGTTTCTCTATAGTGTATGATTCTTGCACTTCTGAAACATTAGCAAAGAATGTGAAGGATACTATGTACCGGCTGCATGAGGTTTATAGTGGGGAGAAGGGTGAATATGTGGCTAATGAAAGTAGTGGGGAGGCGGCAACAAGTACAACGGAGGGAAAAACGGAAGTAGAAGGAAAAGGGTGTTTGTAGAGCAAGTTTGTTAGGAAAATGAAGGAAAAGAATGTGAATGAGTATAAAAATGATGTGGACAGATACTTAACAGACCCTATGGAGGATCTAACTCGGTCAAATTTTGATGTTTTAGATTGGTGGAAGAATAATGCAACTAATTACATGGTTCTCTCACTAGTTGCAAGAGACATTCTTGCCAATCATGTTTCAACGGTAGCCTCAGAATCTGCTTTTAGTACCGGAGGCCGCATCCTCGATCCCTTTAGGAGTTCATTGAGCCCCAAGATGGTGGAGGCATTGATTTGTACACAAAATTGGCTGAGTAGTCGTCAGCACATCAACCTTATTGATGTGGAAGACTTTAATGAATATAAAGATATTGAGTCAGGTAATCTTTTTATGTTTTACTTATTTTTTTTAATTTTATTTCATCTCCTTGTTGTTTATTTTGTTGTTCTAAACTTGATTCTGATGATTTTTTTTGTTATGTTTTCTTCTCAAGATTTGTCAAATTCTGTTGCAACACATGAGGGATAAGTTGGGAATGAAGGTGTTATTATTCTGAATTAAACAGTTTAGAGTGGACTAAATTTCCTATTTTGCGACTTTCTTTATATGGACTGTTTATTTTTATATGAACTGTTTCTTCTAGATTAAACTGTTTATTTTATATGGACTATTTTACTTCTCAAGATTTTATTTCATCTCCTTATTGTTTATGCTTTTGGATTGTTAAAAGAGGTATGAAGTCATAGATTAAAATTGGTTTTCACCAACCCGAGTAACCCAAGTAACCCAACCCTACCCGAGGTCACCCGAAAGGTTGTGGGTTTGTAGATTTAAGAGAGTGTTGCGGCTCAAAGTTTTCTCAACCCGCACTGGTCGGGTAGGCTCAATTTTTCAACTCAACCTGACCCTACCCGGCCGATTTACACCCCTAGCCGGCGTGGATAGAGAGAAGGAAAGAGAGAGTGAGCGTGGAAGAGAGAGAAAATGAGAGAAAATGGAGAAAAAGGGGGGAAAAAAAGGCTTGGGCTTTCTGTGTAAATTTAATAATTAGACTTCAAAGTTCAATTTGAATAGAGTATGGAAAAACCCATTATTAAAATTCTGAAAAATTAGTTACCAACACTTAAACATGTTTGAGGGACAACAATGCCAATTTCAAAACAATCTTTTTTAAAGGAGAAATGTCTTTTACGTAATAATTATAACTGAGAATCTTTACTAATATCAGATTAATTAATACTAACCAACAAATTTGATTAGTTAATCTCAATTAATTTAACTAAATATTACATGACAAGAGAGAAAGAAAAGAAGTTGTCATGCAATTGCTATTTTACCTTCTCAATTATAATATTTAGTTCAAAAATGAGGTTAAACAAGTAATTAAATCTAATTTTAGGTGTCGTGACTTTTTCTTTCCAAAATATCTCCATTTTTGGAGGGAACAAAAATGGTTGGTTCCACTTATATAATTTTTCACTTTATTTTACTTTCCTTTTCTACCAAACAACTAATTTTTTCATTTTCTCTCTTCAAATTTTTCCACCTTCCTTCTTTCCACTTTTCTTCCTACAAAACATAGTGTTAGTTCGAAAGAATCAAATCAAAAGGAGGGTTATATGTCTAGAAACAATATTGATCCAACACTAAGAGCCCGTTTGATTGGAGGATTCGTTCTCTGATTCGAATCATGGTTCATGGTTCGCTACAGCATTTTTTCTCACAAAAAACACACGTAAATCGAAAATAATTCTAATCTCATGGTTCTAATCAATGAATCAAACGGGCTCTAAATTGAGGAAAGTTTTATAATATCAAAGGATAACAACAAATATGGCCCTTTTAGAAGCCTAATGTCATAAATGACCGCAGTTTTTTAAAATTTGATACATGGCCCTATCTTTTAGGTCTTTTTTTTGTTCACAATCTATGACTGATTGATTGCAGTCTATAAGTGATTCAATGATTGAATATCGATTTTTCCATTTGAGGTTTTTTTTATTCACGATCTATCATTGATTATCCGTAATTTATCACTAATTAACTAAATGTCTATTTCAATCTCAGTCTATCACTGCTTTGATCTTGGTCTAGCCATGATTTACCGCGATCTATAACTAATTAAGTTAAAAAACAAACCATTGGCGTAACTTTGAAAAAAATAAATGGATCATCCACTGGGCGTAATTTTAAAAAAGATGGTCTTCTACTTATTTGGGTAATAGAGGTGTAAGTTTAGACTGTATGGCCCGAGCCCAGTGGCCTAAAGAGAAATTTTGGGTTGACCAGCCCGACCTGAAATTTTATAAGCTTTTTTCAAAAAAAAAAAGCCTTTAAAAATATCCGAAATAATAGAAAATATGCCAATATGAAAAGCTTAAGAAATTATATATGCCAATTTTTAGTTATAGAAATTAATAGGCCATAACTTGTCAAGTTATGGTTCATAACCAAATAAGTTATGGATAAACTTGTCTAGTTATGGTTCATAGCCAGACTAGTTATGCATAAAAATCGTGAATTATAGACAATAACTTGTCAAGTTATGGTTCATAACCAGACAAGTTATGGACAAAAACAGTAATTTGGCATATTTATTAACTTATGTAAACTATTAACCTATTAATTTTAATTCATCTCAAATTTTAACATATTTCTTTTTTTCTTCCTTTTAATATTTAGATCTAACCGGTCCAACTTTAAAAGAGAGAATGTCGACCCAACCTGATTATAAACCTAAGAATTTTAAAGTCGGGTCGAATCTAAACCCAAACTAACAGGACTTCAGGCTGGCGTATTTAGCCTGCTCAAGTTTGCAGTTTTATTGGATAATAAATGGGCCACTCAGCCCAATTTCCCTTACATCAATATGCACCAAAGTACAATGGACACTTGGACAGTAATGAATGATTATGACAACAGGGAGCTTAACTTGGCTAATTCTCACTGCCCTTTAGTGGAGTCTATCAAGTCTTTGTTTTCCGATTTCTGTGCTCTCTTTAATTATTTTATAAAAAAATAAAATTAAAAAAAAAAAGAAGAAGAAGAAGACTTCTGTGCTCTCTTTCATTTCATTCAAGTGGATTTAAGAAACGACATTAGACTTGAAGAACGATGACCAATGAAGAAAAAAAAAAAAAACAGAGAGAAAAGAAAATCCACTGTGAGAACATATTTAATTAGGCATGAGATGGCACTAAATAAAAAGCGAAACTGATTTATCATACAATAAATAAATAACAAAAAAGAAATACGCTCTCAAATATCGACGAACGCGAGAAAACTTATTATTTACTTTAAAACTAATTTATTTCTTTATTTTTAGTCATTTTTACCCTTCTTATTTTTTTCCTAAGTTTCATTTCTTTTTTCCATTTTAATTCCTTTTACTCTAAAACTTATTTATCTCTTTATTTTAATATTTTTTTATTTTTTCCTAAAAATTTATTTTTTTATTTTGATTCTTTTTCCTTAAAATGTATTTAATTTTTCACTTTAGTCCTTTTTTTATCTTTTTTTTAATTTTAGTCCTGAAATTTAACTTTTTTCATTTTAATTTCTTTTATTTCTTCATTTGGCCTTTTTTACCTTTAGAATATTACTTTTGCCCTGATTTTTTTTTTCATTTTAATTTCTTTTACCCTAAACCATACTTATTTCTTTATTTTAATCTTTTTTTTAACATTTTTTCTATTTTTCTCCTAAAAATTTATTTTATTTTTATTTTTAGTTTCTTTTGCGGGAAGACTTATATATTTCTTTATTTTAGTCCATTTTTAACTTTTTTTTATTTTTAACCTCAAATATTATTTTTCTTTTTCAACTTTTAATCCTTTTTATCATAAAACTTATTTATTTCTTTATTTTGGTCCTTTTTTTACCTCTTTTTTTATTTTTACCCTAAAACTTTATTATATTTTTCTTTTTGATTATTTTTGTTTTAAAACTTATTTATTTCTTCATTTTAATTATTTTTTTACCCTTTTTTTTAATTTTTTTCCTGAAATTTTATTTTGTTCGTTTTGATCTCTTTTATCCTAAAATTTTATTTCTTCATTTTAGTCATTCTTTTACCCATTTTGGACTTTTCTCCCTAAAACTTTTTTTTTTTCATTTTTCTCTTATTAAGATTTTATATTCAAATTTATATTTTTTTAATAATAACACCGTAATTAATATTTAACACAGATTGCTCTCTACATAGCAGGTGGTGGTGTTCAACTAATATATTATGACTCCACATGTTCATGGGTTCAAATTGACATTTAATATATTAAACCTATATCTCGGTTTTTTGTGGTTTCAATTGACATTTAATAGTGTAAAGGCTAAACAAAAATTAAAGTTTAAACTAACATTTAGTCACATTATTAGAAGAAAAAATTACTGACTCTACCTCTTTAAGTACCTAATTAAAAATACTCGTTAAAAAAAATAAAAAATAAAAACTCTAATCTAAAAGGTAGAAATATAGGCTAATGTTAAAGTGTAAAAATAAAGTAGACTACGAGAGGTATTTTTAAAAATTATCCTTACTAGAATTATGGGATTTTTAAAAAATGTGAGTGAATGATTTGGGAACGTTTGGATTAGAACTTTAAGAATTTAAGAGTATAAAGCTCTCGTAAACCTTCAATTTTAGGTTCAAATGAAGGCTAAACTCAGATTCAAACCCAAAATGTCATGCAACTAAACAAGAGTATGAAATTTGAATCCATTTTGGCTTTAAACCCTTCTAAACCCTCCAAACAAACAGGCGTATAAGTTTTAATAACACCGAGCGACAATGTGTTATACTGTTATATTTCATAGAAAACAAAAGTTAAAAAATTAACAAGACAAACTAAAATTAACATGCAAAATCTTGTAAAAACCACAAAATTCGTAATGACCATAATGGTTTGATGGATGAAATTCAAAGAAACGAAACAAAAATTTTAGAAGAAATCAGCGAATAAAGCTCTAAAAGAAAGAAAAAGAAACGACATACTGAAAACGAAAACGAGAACTTGAAAAACGACAGACAACTACAGAAACAATTTTAACATAAAAAACACAAACGCATCAAATGTTGTGAAAACATCTCAAAACGACATTCAATACGATAAACGACATATAATATTAGAGCACGAATGAAAAACGAAAAGTAAAATGAAAAACAAGAATCAGAAAGAACGTAGCAAGTAGAATTTTGATCATGTGAAACTACAATTAACTTGTAATCATCACCCGCACATTGTTTTCATCATATTCGTTTTTCATCCAAAATAAAATGACGGATTGAGAGAGAGGAATAGAGAGAACGAAAAGCTTCAACCTTAATCGGATATCAGAAATTGAATTTAAGAATGGAAGAAAACCTAGATCGAAACTCCGAGAGAGAAAATTGAACCTTCAGAAGAAAAACAACATCACGAGGTCCGAAGGGGCAGAGGGGGAAGCCGAGGAGAGAGGAAGAAGAAGAAGGAAGAAGAAGAAGAAGAAAATACGAGCAGAAAATGCACAAAAAAGATTCAGATTGAAAACTATTTATGACTTGGTGAAGAAATTGAGGGCAATCACGATCCCCTCTCAACTTGTTTTCTTATCCACACGCTATGATTTGTGCAATCGCCGCTTCTAGTATTATCCCTCTTCGCTTCTAATTTCTCTCTCCAAAGGCGGCCTCTTCCCTACTCCACGCCCTCCTCTGCCTTCTACTTATATTCTGGATTTGTCATTTTTTTTTTCTTTAGTGTATTTTACTCATTTACCCCGTGAGCTTTTATGTTTTTAACAATTTACCTCTTAAATTTTAAATTTTAATAAATTATTTATTTAATTTGTAAAATTATTATAATATGTTTATTTTAATGATGATTGTGTTAAATTAATATAAAAAAAACACATTCGACGAAAAATTTTAACATGTCAATGCCAATTTAAATATCACAAAAATATTTCACTTTCTTAATTTTTGATCCCTTAACTCTAATAAAAATTTTGAACGCACCAATTTTATAAGTTCGAGAGTTGATCATCAAAATTAAAACTTTTTGAGGGACAATTTAGTACACCATAATAAATTCCAGCAACAATTGTACTAAAAACCTCTTTTTTTAGAGAATATATTATGGAATTGTCTTAATTTAGAGCTAAGATTTTTTCTTTTTTAAAGACTTTTTCTAGTATGGTCAGTTTCAGATCGTTAAAATCATATTAAATTAAATAAATATGTAGAATAAATAATTTTTTATATAAATTTAATGGCTAAAAATATGAAATTATCTATTCATTTTCCTATTTCAATCAGAAAACTCTTTTTTTTTTTTCCTCCGTAAAAAATGAAAAATAGTGAATGATATATAATGCATATTTACATATATCACCCCACTTTATCTTCACTCTCTCCCTATCGCTCTTTTGTTGTGAGAGGCTCTGCAATTAATAATTTAGGGGAGAGCGTTTTAGTGTGTTAAAATATCAATTATATAATTACCTTTCTATTACTGGCAACGGAAGACTAATTATCCTTTTAAAAAAATTAATTTGCTCAATTCAGTTTAGAGTTAGAATCTTTAGATAACTAAAGTTCAAAACTACAAAACCACAAGGAAATTGTTCGTTATGCAAATTACACGATTGTCTCCCAAATTATATGCCATATCACAAAATTTCCTGAACTTTTAATTTATAACATCCCTTCCCTCAAACTTCAAAGTCTTGAAAATTTCACCCTTCTGTTAAATCATTTATGAAAATTAACACGTGGCAAGAGTGAGAGTATTGAACATGCAATAACGAAGTTGCCGCTGAAATTAGGGACGTAATATGCAATTGTTGCCGTTTGTTTTTAGACCTCTCGGCTCATCTTTCTCTTCGTCAATGGTAGCCAACAGTAGCCGCAGCGATAGGAAGTTCTCGCTACTCATCAAGCTTTGAGCACAAAGGTAAAAGTCGTCCCATGTTGTAACATCCCTACAATAAATCTCTTTAATAAATTCTCTCTTCCTGAAGAGTATTCACTATAAAAAAAAAAAAAAAAAAAAAGGATTTGTAAAATGATCGACCATTTAGTTCATAGGTTTAAACAGAAAAGTTTTAACAGAAATTTAAATTTTTTCAAACATATGAAACAAATGCATGATAAGAAAGAATTGTTCAAAATGGGATCTTTCAAGTCGAAGCTAGCATTAATTAAGAACAAAAGACCGTCGGAAGTATTAAAACTAGTTCTTATTGAAAAAAAAATATAACTGCTCATGAAATACTCAGAATTGGAATTGCATAAATCTAGATAACAACAATAAACTGAGACAAAGTTGAGGAATTAAAACCTCAAAAAAATGAGGACGAAGATCTTTGAGAACGAGGCGAAGCTTGAGGTCTTTGGAATTGTACGAAAGGGAGTCATTGTTGAGGAATCTCTTCTTGGAAGAGGGAGGGGGTTGAGGAGGAAGTGACTGGGCTGAGCTCAGAGGATTTAGGGCTTGGATGGGCGTGGATTGGGCTGTGACTGGTCATTCCATGGAAGCTCTTCTCTCGCTCTCGCTCTCTTAGGGATTTGTAGGAACGGACAGATCTTCACTTCCATGGATGCTCTTCAATAACGTGTTTATTAATGTATTTACTAAAATGCCCTCAAAATTGCCATCACGTGCGAGCCATGTGTCAATTTCCGTCAATGACTTAACATAAGAGGAAAATTTACAAGACTTCTAAAGTTCTAGAGGTGTCAAATGGGCCGGGCCGTCCATGGACGGCCCGGCCCAGCCCGCAATAGTGCATGATTTGGTACGGCCCAGT